CATCACTGGTGCTGTGCTAACTAGTGTGTGTACCTAGGGTATGTGGGGGCAGATCCTGTGGTTTTTTGTGCCGTAGTAAGATGATCTGCTCTATGATTCTTTCCTGGTGAATTGAGAGAGAACTTGTCTGTCCTTCTGCACACGTGGGAGGAATTGTGGGAAGGCACTGAAGGACTATCAGCACTAGAGTGGTTTAGCCTATGTACTCACTGCAAAGTGGGCACTTACCAGCTCAGGGGTTAGCCTACAACCCCAAACAAGCCAGCAGATGTGAACAGTAAGCACCACCAGACTCAGCTGAGATGATTTTGTGTGCGGTCAGGAGCTGGGTTAGAAGCAACACCTGAGTAAGAGTCACTTCCTACACATTTGGTTAAGGCTACAAACATTAGTTCTTTACCCTAGGGATTGTTAAACCCATGTAACCAGTATTAAACTGGCATAAAAGAGTCCACACACAAAAACTGTACAAATTTAACTTTTTATTTTAACGTTTAAATTAAATTGGTGCAATTTCTGTGTGAAGACAAGTTCTAAGGAATGTAGTGTGTACAGGGTTACACAAAGTATATTCCTGATTTTACACTGGAGGGGTATAAATGAGGCAAGCAGGAAGATTCTGTTAATCCTCTGAGACTCGAGTTTCAGATACAGGCATACCAGTCCCAGCAGGAGCACCGCACATTCATCTAGTCAAAGCATATGATCCTATGCAAATTGCTTATTCTGAACCAAATAACTTTGGTTTAGTGTGCGCAGCTTCAGTGACTTCAGTGCTTATTATACTGTCTGTAAGGTAAGAAACAACACGACACACAGAATGCCAATCACTATTGTTTCTATACTTGTTCACAATTGCAATCACAAACTGTGAATTTACATTCAGTAAACCAGACTGTTAACCATTGTTTTCTTAACTAAATTTATTTTTGTATTAAAATATTTGCTAAATTCTCTAGCCCTTTTGTCTCTTTCATAAAAAAATAAGTGCTTTTAGTGGGGAGAGAGAAAGGGGAAAATACTGAAGTATTTGCTAGCAGTGTTCAAGACAATATTTCCTAAACACAAATGTAATTAAACTTGGATATTGCATTAAAATATGGCTACCATTTTTAAAAAAATTGTTGTGCAGAATAATTTCCCTTTTAATTGTGGACTTTCAGTGCTATATTTATTTTCCCAATAGAGGAAATAGTAACTTCCATTATTATTATTCTGTTACTTTTTGCAGACACTTGTGAGCACCATTTCTGTTTGGCGTTTCCCATTGTGTGCTGATCCTGGAACCATGAAAATGTATTTCCTGAAACAGTCTGAGCAACGATGGAAAATGTTAGCTTAGTATTAGAGCTTCTAAGAGGAAAACACCTATTTAAAAAGAACTTTTATGTATATAATTTTCCCAGGGAATACTGAGGATTTTTCTTTCCACCTTTGAATCATTAAAGGGAGCATGGGTGCTAATCTGGTATTGCAGTTACCATGTTATGGTAACCGCAAACTTTTTGGAAATCAAAACAGTTAAAAAATCATAGAGCAAGTTTTATTTATTACATTCCAATAAAAGTTAAAATGAAGGACTGAATGGTTCAGGGAAACGGTATTGGAATATGGAGGGCGAGAGAGAGACGGTCAGGGAAAGGGGCCCTAAAAGCCCCATGTCTGGCTGGCAGAGGATTTCTCTTCTGAGAGCACTGCAGAAGACAAATATAAGGCTGCCTCCTGAAGACCCCACAAAAGCCCTGGCACAGTGCATATGGAGGAGGGTGGGCCTGAGAGAAAGAAGGGCATGTCAGGGACAGGGCCATAGCACACTGCACTGCAGAGGTTCCCGACAGTGCTGTGGCCCATGCGGCAAACTGAGGAGGCTGCTGTAACTTACACAAGTCCTCAGGGCCTGTCAGGGGCTCTTCAGCCTTTGGAGGAGCGGAGGATCAGTAGGACGCAAAGGTGATGAACAGCCACCTTTGCCCTCTCCCCGTCGCGTTCTGTGCTGTGCCTCTGAGATGTATCTCACGAAAGCCTTTAGTCTCTTGGAACCTAGTCCTGTGCCTATTTAAGTCAATGGAAAAACTCCCTCAGACTTCAATGGTGCAAGAGCTGGTCTTTGGTCAGTGGGTTGAATGCAACCCAGTCATTACCATCTGTTGTATGGTATCTGTGAAATACAAGAGTGATTTCATTCTAGGTGCCAGAGGACAAGTCTCCATTTCCAAAATCCACAAAGCCCCTCGTAAATGGTGCTGATTAATGCCCTTTTTGGCAATATAAGCAAAGGGGTCCCGGACTGAACTGGAAGAGGGAGTAATCCCACGAGGTTCCATTTGCAACACAGCATGAGAAGCTTGCACTACTGCTGCATGTGTTTTTTCTATTCTTTAAACATCTCGAGTCTCCAATGCTTTTAATCCAGCACTAAATTCACTTAAGCTACTTTATAGAAAAATAAACTTGGGATAAAGAAAACAAAAACCTTGCAAGATGTAGCTTTATGGCAAGCACATTAACTTGGTTCCTAAAACACCAAAGGTAAAATAAGTACAACTGGCTGCCTTCAAATAAACATGGACCAAAATTATATAAACAGGAGCTAGAAACACCCCCGCTAGTGAATAATCTGTTCAGATCAGCAGGAGAGCAGTAAAAAGAAACTAAACTAGATAAGTGGGAATGTTTTCCACATGGCAGATCAGCTGGTGACTCTGACTTTCCTTTGTGATCCTGTGGGGAACTTGGAGCAAGAGCTTTCCCTGGTTCTACTATTCCGGTGATGTATGCTAGCATTTTATTAAGACTCTGGACACAAGTTATAACGGTTCTCTACTCAGTGTGCTTCTCACAAAGTGTGTTCTCTCTTAGCAAAAAATAAATAAATTATCCTGAATATCAGCAAGGCTTACAGTAAAGTGAACACTTTAAAGTGCAATTGTCAGAAAAGGGACACTAAAAGTGGCATTTACTTACCCAACAGATCTTCTTTTGTGGGTATTCCAAATCATGATAGCTGCTCCATTTGTTTTTTTTGTTATATTCACATAATGTGTTTGGCACAGCGCAAGATACAAATATAAATCCTGATCCTGCAAGACACACTTACATCTGCACAGAGCTCTGTTGAATTCAGTGCAGTTCTGCACAGGCACAAAGATGCACTCTCACAGGTCCAAGTTTATGATCTGGGCCCAAATCTACAAAGGGACTTAGGTATTGCAATGCTCAGCATTGTAATCTCTGACTTTTAGGACTGTTCCCAGCTGAGTGGAGTGGCTGCCTGTCCTGGTGCAGCCGTGCCACCAGCACTCCAGGGAGCCAGGGGGGAGGCGATTGGATAGAGGGCAGGGCTGTGTGGATAGGGGTAGGGGTAGTCAGAGTGTGAGGAATGGGGGGGTTGATGGTTGAATGGGGGCAGGGGTCCTTGGGGGGCAGTCAGGAAGGAAAGGAGGGGTTAGATGGGGCGGCAGGGGGCAGTCGGGTGGGTGTTCCAGGGGCGGTCAGGGGACAGGGAGCGGGGTGGGGGGGTTGATTGGGGCAGGAGTCCTGGGGGGGGCATCAGGGGCGAGAAGTTGGGGGCATCAGGTAGGCAGCAAGGGTCAGGCCATGCCTGGCTGTTTGGGGAGGCACAGCCTCTCCTAACCAGCCCTCCATACAATTTCCGAAACCTGATGCAGCCCTCAGGCCAAAAAGTTTGCCCACCCCTGGGTTAGAGAGATGCCTAAAAATGGGGTCCACAAAAGGCAGCACACTATGTGAGGAGCCACCTAAACTAGCTGATAGCAGATAACAAGGAGAGGGATGTATCCTAAACCCCACTGATTTTTAGGGAGTTAGGCACCTAAGTCCTGACTGGGGGGAGCTGCCTATCTCTGCTTGGGATCCACAGCTGGGAACCCTCTCCTGGAAGGGAAGTGCCTAAGCTGTTTCTTGCAAGAATGGTGATGGCACACACCTGTCTCCACACACAATGGCCTTAGGATGGGGCAAGAAAGAAATTTCCCTTGTGGCCAATGACTGGAGCACTCACCTGAGATGCGGGAGACCCTCTTGCTTGATGAGGAGAAGGGGTTTGAGCATAGGTTTCTCTCCTCTCAGGTGAGTGCCTGAACCACTTGGGTATGGAGTTACTCTCTCTGGCCCAATGCATATTTAATGATTAAATTATTTATATATGTGGAGTAGCTTCCACAAGAGAGAATGAGGCAGACCCACATCAGAACATCCCAATATGTTTAATGATCACGTATGTAATTCTTGTCACTGATTTGTGTATTTTTGTCTGCATGCCCAAATTTGGGACCGAGGAGATAAACATGAAACTCCCAGATGCTGTTACTTAAGACATTTATTTTTCAGTGCATGACAGTGCTTTCAACTCACAAAATTTCCACTTTAGCAGCCTCACAAAATCTTCTTCAATTATAAAATAAACACCAAATAGGTTTTGATGAAGTACAGTAACTGGAGGTCATATAGTACAAGAGTTTATCACTGAGGACACAGGTGTGGCCTCTTATAGTCTTTGCACATGAGCTAAGTTGTCAGGGTACTGTAAATAGCTGTGCCAGAGAGAGGAGATGAAGAAGCAGTGTGAAGAAAAACAAATGGGTTCATTTTATTTTTTTATTCTAGCTCATCTTCACACACACACAAAAACCCAGTGTGTGGGCTGCGACTGGAACAGATTTTTCTTAAATACGTGTTGGAAACAGAATATGAGTTTAGCAACAGCCAAGAGGCCTCCTTCAGAAATGAATGGTCAATAAAGGAAGTGGTTGCTTCTTTTCATGTTGTTTGTACTGTAGCTCTGCTTTAGTGAATAATCTCTAACATTTTTTTACCTGCAGAAATTTTCTCTCTCTGATTCAGACTAGGCTCCAGTAGCATGAAAGTATTTTCTTGTCTTATGTGGACTCAGCTGGGCCAGTTTAATGTTACGTGAAATAATATCATTTCCCTGACTGTCTACCCTTTTCTTTTTCATTTATGTGTTGATCATGATCTAGAGCTTACAAGATCCTGTAAATAAATTAACTGAGAGAGCTGAAAAGGAGGAGGATTTGCAGACTGCAAGCACCAAATCAGTGGAGGATCAGGAGAGTCAGTAAGTCACATCTCAGAACAATGTAGTTTTTTCATCCATGCTGTGCTTTCCAATTTATCTTTGGGTTTGTCTGTTTTTTTAAAGGTTATTGTGCGGAGCCTGTCACGCTTATAAGTGTAAATACAGGCTCACTTTATTTGAACACTAGAGATTTGGACAAATAGAGATGAAAGTGGAGGAATTCCTGTAATACTTTAGTGTATATTGGAGAACTCCAGCCAAGGAGCCAAGCACAAAAGTTTTGTCGTAAACAAAAAGTGAGCAATGTAAAGCAAGTACAATTATGCCATTGAATTAACTGCTTTTTGGTTTACTCTTTCTATTTAATAAAGGGGGGAAATGCAGAAAACTGAAAAATAAAGAGAAACAGTGAACAACTTAATTCAAGAGAAATGATAATATTGCACTCCATCCTTTGTCCCTTTCATGCCCTCTTCCTTGCACCTGGGAACAGGAGCTGAATTCTTGCTTGCTTTAAGCACTGATTAGTTTTTATGATGTATACAGCATTGCCTATTAATCCAGTACAGCAGCAGGTACTTTGTAAAGAGAACATCTAAGTGAGCTGATTCTGTTGTTACTTGAGTTACCTGTGGCTCTGAGGTGAGAGGGATATATGAATTGGATGTATGTTAATCTTCGGAGCGGCTGATCAAAGAATGGGAGAACCGGAGGATGAGATGTGATCCCTCTCCTATGGACACATCAGGATTCAGTTGTGAGGGCATATAGTGATGTAATCCTGGTGCCACCTGTTGTTTTGACCATCCAAATAAAGTACCTACGTAAGGATCGGATGTCAAAAAATTAAGAACGATTTGATTGCTAGTTACTGGGTTTTGTTTGGCTGGTTTTTAGAAATCTTTTGGAAAGACTGTTGCATTTGTAAACAAATAAAAGAATCTGAAGACATTACCCACTAGCTAACAGGTTTTAAGTGAGTCCTATTTGGGTGTTAACAGGTTAGAAAGGACACAGCCAAGTGACCTTGTGCAGATGTCTTTTTTCACAGCACTATTGTGAATCCATTGCTTGTAATGAGACACTAGTAAAGAATCACGGAAAAAAAATTCTCCTTAAACTGAAGAAGGAACTTCTAGAATAAGGAAAAGAGTATTAGGAATGAGCTAGTTAGTACGTAGTCCTATCTTGAGTGCAGGGGACTGGACTAGATGACCTCTCGAGGTCCCTTCCAGTCATACTTCTATGATTATTCTCTGAAGCTTCCCCAGTCCCCCTATTGCCTGAATTCCTGCTACAGTTTAAAAACAAAAGCAAAACAGTACACCTATCCTGAGTGCGTGAATCGTGGTTCATGCAAGAGGTCTGCTTTGATACTAGACATAGTATTGTAGATCTTGCCAGAAAATACATTAGCTGTCATGTAATAGGCACACTTGCTTGTGTCATGGCTTTTTTTCAACCCTCTGTAACAGAGAAGAAAGAACAGTTTCCCTCTGTCATTTTCTTCCTTAAAACAAAAATATTAATAACTATTTCTAAGGCTTTAGAAAAAATAAGTATAAATCCCCATCAAATCACTAAAGCCTTTTAAAATATATTTTAAATATCTGACTTTGCAGGGTTGGAATTGAACTCACTAGCTTGCTTAATGAACTTACATTACTCTCATCAGGTCATTTATTCTTCTGGTATTCAACTATGAGATCATTGGTTTAAGTCAATAAGACAACCCCTTGGCCTTTCTGCATTTGACAGCTGTTGAATTTTACTTATGTTGTGAACACAAGTTAAATTAGCACGGCTGGGGTTTTTTGTTTTGTTTTTAAATAATCTTAGGGCTCGTCTACACACACAAATTGTACTGCTTTTACTATACCGGTATAGTTAAAGCAATGCAACCCCCACTACTGTGGATGCAGTTATATTAGGCATATATAGATAGCTATATAGATAACTGCATCCATTTGGTAAAATATACCACTAATCAAAATGGTTATAATAAAAATTGTGTGTAGACCAGACCTTATGTTGTCTGTTCAGACCATCAGCACTGTTGATTCATTCTTTCCAAATCTATGCTAACACTGACGTGGATGTAACTTGACGAGTCAGTGGACTTGCACTAGGAGTGAATCTGGCCCATACTATTTAATTGCTGCCATAGACCCAAAGGGCAGAATGCAAAATGTTTTCATGGGGGATGGTTATAGCTCCTTAGTGTTAAGTGGGCAAAACTAATCTGGATGCACAGAATCCGGTTGTATATTGTCCATAACAGATTTTTAGGTAGATAAAAATGGGACTTAAGCCACTTGACAGTTTCTCTTCAACCCACTTTAATCTTTAATAAATTTTGCAGACAAAATACTAGAAGGCAACAACTTTACTTGGGAATTAATGTAAATTACTGTTTTATTGCTATTGATGTAATGTTATTGTGGTACAACTGAAAAAGGAAAGGTATCCAAAGTTCTACCTTTTACAAGATATGACACTAAAACATAGAAGTGTGCTCTTAATTTTTTTCACTCTCCAATTTAAGGTTGATTTCATTAGATGAGGAAAACCACAGCAAGGAACCAACCTATTCAGGTATTATTTTATATCTTAATCTTTCTCAGTTGTGTTGATCTATGTAATGTATGTATTACTTTCCTCAAGCTATTTCATAGAGATTCATAGAATTAAGCCCAGAAGGGACCATTACATCATCTAGTCTGAACTCCTGCGTGTCACAGGTTATTAAATTTCATCCAGTTGCTCCTGTTGTGAGACCAATAACTTGTGTCTGCCTTTCTGGAAGACGTGTTTTAGACATCCAGTCTTGATCTGAAGAGATGGAGAATCCATTACTTTCCTTGCTAGTTGGCTGCAGTGGTTTATCACCCTCACTGTTAAAATTTTGTGCCTTATCTCTAATTTGAATTTCTCTGGATTCAGCTTCCAGACATAGGTTCTTGTTATATAGTTTTCCACTAAACTAAAGAGCCCTTTTAATATCCAGCATTTTTTCCTTTTGGGGGTACTGATTCACTTTCCTGGTACACTGAAAAGTGACTTGATTTCAATCTTCTGTTTGACAAACTAAACAGACTGAAGTCTAAGTCTCTCAATATAAGATATTTTCTTCACCCCTTGAATTTGCTGGCTCTTTTCTGCACTCTCTCCAATTTTTCAACATCCTTTTAAAAATGTGGAAACCAGAACTATGCACAGTATTCCAGTATTAGTCTTACCAATGCCAAGGATTACGTTAGTCCTTTTTGCCTCAGCCTGGCACTTGCAGCTCATGTTGAGTTGCTTGTCCGTTATGACCATAAATCCTTTTCCGAGTCACTACTTTCCCAGGATACAGTCCCCATTCTATAGGTATGGCCTGCATTCCTTGTTCCTACCTGTATAATCTTCCATTTGGCTGTATTAAAATGCATTTTGTTTCAATAGGCCCAAGTAAAAGGTGATCCAGGTAACTCAGCATCACTGCTCTGTCCTCATACCTTTCTGCATATTTTTGTCATTTACAGATTTTATCAACAGTTATATTATAGTTACTTCCAAATCATTGATGAAAATGTTGAATAGGTTCTAGTATAGTATTGATCCTGTGGAGTCCCAATAGAAACGCCTCCCATTCAGTGATGATTCCCCGTTGGCAACTGCTTTTTTGAGATCTGTCAGTTAGCCATTTTTTAATCCGTTTAACCTGAGCTTTATTGGTATTGTATGGTGCTCATTTAATCAGAATGTTGTGCGGTACTAAATCTAAACACCTTAGAAAAGTCAAAGTATATTACCGCCGTGCAGTTCCCTTTATCAATCAAACTTGTAATCTCATCAAAGAATTAAATCAGCTTTGTTCAAGAAGAACTATTTGCCATAAAACCGTGTTGACTGACAATTTAATTATATTTCTCAAAAACAACAAGGAGTCTGGGTTTTTTACCCACGAAAGCTTATGCCCAAATAAATCTGCTAGTCTTTAAGGTGTCACCGGACTCCTTGTTATTTTTGTGGATACAGACTAACACGGCTACCCCCTGATAATTATATTTCTGTCCTTTTAATTCTTTATCAATTAAATTCCATGTGAGCTTTTCCATTATTTTGTCTGGAGTTGACGACCAGCTAACCAGAAACCAGCCCATGCGATCCTTCTTCCTTTTTTTTAATATTGGCACATTAGCAAACTTCCATTCCTTTGGAATTTCCCTGGTATTGCAAGATGTATTAAAATTTAATATCCGTGGGCCAGAGATCTTCTCATCCAACTCTTTTGGGTGCAAGTGACCTGGGCCTGTTGATTTTAAAATGTTTATCCCTGGTAGATGTAGTTTACTCAGGCCCAGATCTTCAGAGGTATTCAGGCACCTAACTCCTATTGAAATCAAGTCACCATTGGTGTCAGTGGGAGTTAGGCACCTGAATATCTTTGAGGATCTGGGCCTAAGTTTCTGATGGACCAGAAAGTACTTCGTCATCTTCATATGACACAAGTACGCAATCCTGCTTCTTTCCAAATACCAAACAGAAATATTTATTGAACACTTTTGCCTTTTCTCTTCATTATTACCAGTTTTACCATCCTCGTCTGGCTATTCCCATTGCTAGGATTTTTATTCCTGATCTACTTAGCCTCCTTTTTATTGTCCTTAGCCCTGCAGGCATGGATTTTTTCTGTGATGTCTCTAGCTTCTGCTATCAATTTTCATAAGTTCTCATTTATAACGAGTGCTATCTAAGTCCCTTTATTCCATTTGTCATATTGCTTTTTAAAATCTCTAATTGCTGCTTTCACTTTGCCACTGGTCCCAGATGGGCTTTTAGCCAAAGTTGTCATTGTTTAATTGTGGCTTTTTGGCCATCTATTAGCTCTTCCTTAAGCACTCCCATTTTCATTCAGATTTTTTCTGTTTAAGTTTTTCCTCCAATAAATTTTCTTAGGCAATCACCAACTTCCAGTACAGTTACTGATTAATCTTTATCCTTCATTATGAGATCCAAAAGAACGTTACCTCATGTTGGGTGTAATACCTTTTGTGTTACAATAATTATACAAATTTTCTAAACTGTTTTACATGCTGGAGGTCCCATGCAGCCAGCAGTATCTCCACATTGAAGTCCCCCATAATATTTTTTCTTTTTCACACCTTACGGACAGGTGTTTAAGGAGTAACTGCTCCTCCTCTTTCCCTCAAGGCCACACCCCCTTGCCAGGCCAGAAGCTGGAGTTGGGCCACCCAGGGAGCCTGAGCTGCTTTGGAGAGCCCCAGACCCTACACCTGCCCTGGGCAGAGGGCCGGCGGGCCTGGGAGCAGCCCCTGGCCCATGTTCATACCCTCCTGGTGACTTTTTACTGTTTATTTTATCAATTTGTTCCAAAACCTCCTCTATTGACACCTCAATCTGGGACAGTTCCTCAGATTTTTCAGGTAAAAAGAATGTGTGGGAATCTCCCTCACATCCTCTGCAGTGAAGATCAATGCCAAGAATTCATTTAGCTTCTCCCCAAGAACCTTGTCTTCCCTGAGTGCTTCTTTAGCACCTTGATCATCCAGTGGCCCCACCGATTGTTTGGAAGGCTTCCTGCTTCTGATGTACTTCAAAAATTTTTTTGCTTTTAGTTTTTGTGTCTTTTGATAGTTGCTCTTTAAATTCGTTTTTGGCCTTCCTAATTATACTTTTACACTTGACTTGCTAGAGTTTATGCTCTTTTCTATTTTCCTCAGTAGGATTTGACTTGCAATTTTTAAATGATGTCTTTTTGCTTCTAACAGCCTCTTTTAGTCTGCTATTTAGCCATGGTGGCATTTTTTTGGTCCTCTGACTGTTTTTTCTTGGGGGCGGGGAGGGGGTATATACAGTATTTAGTTTGAACCTCTATTATGGTGTTTTTACATAGCTTTCATGCAGCTTGCAGGTATTTCACTCTTCTGACTGTTCCTTTTAATTTCCGTTTGTTGCTTCCTCATTTTTGTGAAATTCCCCTTTTTGAAGTTAAATGCTAGTTCTTCTTTAGTATTTCCCCCTCTCTTAGGGTGTTAAATTTAATTACATTATGATCACTATTACGAAGTGGTTCAGCTACATTAATCTCTTGGACCAGATCCTGTGCTCCACTTAGGGTAAAATCAAGAATTGTTTCTCCCCTCTTGGGTTCTAGAACTAGCTGTTCCGAGGATCAGTCATTAATGGTGTCTAGAAATTTTATCTCTGCATCTCATCTTGAGGTTACATGTACCCAGTTAATGTGGGGATAGTTGAAATCCCCCATTATTATTGTCATTTCTATTTTTGTAGCCTCTCTGTATCTCTCTGGGCATTCAAAATCATCACCACCATACTGGTCAGGTGATGGATAGTATATACCTACCGCTGAACTTGGTTTGACTTGCTTCATGTGTTTGGTTACAGCTGAAGATAGGAAGGACATTCTTTCTACCTTAGGAGAAAGCTTTGACCATAAAGATAATTCAGGTAACCTAGACTGAAACTGCTTTACTTTACAATTTATAACTATTGATTACATAAGGAGTCAATGAATGACTAATAATTTTTTGTGCTTTGCTTTTTAACCACTAGGTGCCATAGATGATTTATTAGACCTGAAACCTGAAGAAAGTGGTATGTGAAATTCATGCATATCTATTTTATCAGTTTTCCAAAAGCAAAACACCAAAAGTATTTTTAATCTTATCTTTTTCTAAATGAGATCATCCACCTACAGTACTTAAATAGTGTTAAAGAACTTCAACTCTGCATACATAATTTGTGGGCACTAAATCTGATATTGAAATAAAAAGTAAACCCTATTGAATACAATAGGATTTACAGTACTTCAATTTATTTGCCAAAAATATAATTGTCTTTCTGGCAAAGGACGTAATTCATATTTATTTCAGTGGGGCTAATGTTTTGCACGTTACAGTGTCATTCCCGTCATTCCCATAATGTTTAATAGCCCTGTCTTTTATTCTTCTTTGCTTTTTATGCCCACCTGGTCATTATAGTTGGTACTGACTCTACAGCTGCTATAATTTGTTTTGGAAATATGGCAGATATCAGTACCAGAAACAACTGATTTGAGCACCTTTAAAAACTGAAAAGAACTCTTGAGTTCTCTGACCCTCCTTGTTGATTAAAACAGATATGCTGTTCTCATTCATACACGGGAGAACAATCTATAATATATACCCTCTACTTGTATCCTCTGCTGCTTAGACTAGTGTCAGCACTAAGGAATGAGCAGTGTTCACTGTTCTTTCCCAACTGTGCTGTTTTAGCCTTTTTCTCCTACCCCCGCTTCTGTTTAAGAAGGTCCCAACTAATCACAATGACACCCTTTATGTACCGTACTATCTTATGAAAATGCAATAACACTTGGTGCAATGGTTTCATTTGCTCCTAATTTACTTATCTCAGAAGACCACACAGACTTTTGTGACTCAAAAACACTATGTAGCTGAGTCAGATAGATTGGTGAATATATTTTAGGCTATCTGAGGAAGAGCCTATGAAGTATAGAATTCCAAATGGGAAGGAGTGGATACAGATAGCTTCACTTTAGTTAAGACAACGGAACTGTCTGGGGGGAAAAAAGTTTTTCAACCAAACCTTAGTTTTTGCCAAAAAATGTTAACAAAATATGTTGCAAATTTGTTTTGAATTTGCTGAATTTTTTTTGTAAAAAAAAAAAAATTGACATTTTTGAAATGAAGATTTTTTTGATTCAAAATGAAAAGTCATTTTGAAAGTTCTGTTTTATGCTTCAAAAATTTTAAGAAGCTCAAAATCAAAACAAAGCCATTCATTTCAAGTTGAACAAAATGTTGCATTTTGGGTGTAAATGAATTTTATTATTTTTTGTGTTTGTGGAAAAATTCAAAAAAATTCATTTTCAGGTCAATCCAAAAGTAATTTTTGGAATTGTCAGAAAACTGAAAAAAATAGTTATTTGCACAACTCTGTTTCTAAAGTGCTGATGGAAATATTATCCAGGGCCATGGAGATGCAGACATAGTGATGATTCCTCAGTCACATGTGTACTAGAGAGCCCCAGAATCTCCATGTATAAACGCTTAAACGTGATGAGTTTTTGTTTTGAGGCTTAATATTGTGTCCCTCTTGTGCCTGGTAGTGGCCTTTTTCTCTCTTTCCTTTTTCCATCACTTCCACCATCTTCTATGTCGAACATTCCTACTGGAGTCACAGGTAAGGCCTGGTCTATGTACAGGTTTTGAACCAATGTAACAATTTCTGAAAGAGTTAGATCTGTACAGTCCTTAGCATGGTGGCGGTTATGCTGGTATAAAGGTGCTTATGGTGGTATACCTTATTCCTCTAATTTTATGAGAATAATATCTACTGGTATAAACACCTTGATACCTGTACAACTGCATCCATGTGAGGGGGGATTTTACCACTTTAACTCTACCGGTATAGTTAAAGTGGCACAATTTTTGTGTGTACACACAAGTCCTAATTCGCCTTCTGTGTTGTTGAGCCCTCATGTTGCACATTATTCTTCTCTCTCCTTTTTTTTTTTTAAATACCCTACAGAATGAAGCATGGTTCCAAAGGACACATACATGTTACGTGTATTCAAACAGACAAAAATGGAATGTGATCACAAGATTTTTTTTAATGTGGTGGTTAAACATTTTCAGGGCTAAGAGCTGTGTGTGCAGGCAAGGAAAGGATATGGTGGGAAAATGCGCAGCGGAGAGGAAATGGTGGGTAGAAAGCAAAGGAGGAAAACAAAAAGTAAAACAAATACGAAAGTGTCGGAGGGGGGTATGAAGTAAGAAAATCCATAACTTGTGACCTAGTACAGCTACCACACTAGCATAGTCAGAAGAAATTGAGTTTTCAGATTTAAATCTTCATGTATAATTTCTTCACTAACTAGGTGTGACACACATGAAAACTGCAAACTTAGCATGGTTTTGATCTGAGCTGTATCACTTGAAACCTTCTTCCTGTTGTGGTCAATTTAATCTGTGGTGAGGTGCAGTAATGGTATCACATTATCACTAGTAACAAACATTCTTAATACACGTTATCTTCTCCTGCTAGTCTTGAAACTTCATGAAAGTAAAACATTTCCTGCTGAAACACTAGAAGAATATGAGTGCTTAGATATCAGAGTGATAAATGCCTGAGAAATACTAGAGAGAGCACTGTTGTTACCATAGTCCTGAGTGCACTGTAAATATATGGTACTGGTAGATGAACTTTGAAAAGTTTTGAAGGTATTAATGTTCTTAGCCACTCCTCTGAGATGAGGGAGGTGGGGTGAAAATCTCATGAGAATAGGTTTTCTTGTGATACTTCTGGTAATTTCTAATAGGAATCCCAGGAGAATAGGCTTTTTTGTGCTCTTTCCATTTTTGATCCTACCTAGGAAATGCAGAGCCATATAAAAATGTAAATTAAAAAGATGTTAAAATGTTTGGATTTTACCTTAATATGGGCTAAAAATTCAGGCTGGTTCTTATTTTAGAGGAGCTGGTTTCCTCGTTCCTCATATATAGGTGTTTATATTCTCCTATGTGATATTAACTCATGTCCCTTTAAAACTCAAGTTCTCCACTGTGGTCACTTCATTGTAAATCATTATGGTCATTAAAAAAAGAACATATTGAAGTAGGGAGTTACATTGCAATAAAATGTAGTGGCCATTTTCCCTCAAGAGATCCTGTTGTCCATTCTTATGATCTCTTATGCCAAAAACATTAAAAGCATCTGTAATCTCTACAGTTGTATGTAAGCAGAAGTGGAGGACAAAGAAAGATAACTAGTCATCTGAAGCTTTGCAAAATGAAGCTGCCTCTTGTGCTTTCACATGCCAGAGGTATACATAATTGAGGTAAAGTGTTCAGTTTCAGTACTGTGGTAGCATCAGACTTATAACCAACACTAGGTAGAAGATGGAAACCACTGTTTTCATTATCAGAATACTCCCTCAATGTACCTGAAGTTCTAAACGTTTCTGGGTGAAGATGAAAGTAACATTTGTTGGTTAGATATAGAGATGGTTTCTTTCAGTTTGAGTACTGGGACAATATCGGATGTAAACTAGAGGGTTAATAGTTATGATCAGGAATTGTGTGTGCTGTGTATGTCTGTGTTGGGAGGGCGGGGGGGAGTAGACTTTTTAAAAACACTAACCTAGCAGCTTCTTTAACCACAGTTCCCTTGATATAGAATGGGAAACAGGTCAAGAGGATAACGAGGGTTAAGCACTGGGACTTTCAAAAGTACTCAGTGCTGTTCTTAAAATTAATGGGAGTTTTAACATTGACTTCAATGGGAGAAGAATTAGGCCAATGCTGAGTGTCTTTGAAAATCCCCCTTCAACATGTCTAGTATGCAGTTTTCTCAAATAGAGACCCCCAGCTGATCCAGTCATTCACTGGTGGGTCAACAATCCAACTGAACAAATATTTGCTATATATTTGAATCTTACGCAGGCAGCCTTCTATTTGTGGCATGCAGCAATCTGATTTAATTTAAGGTCAAGTGAGTCTTTTTAGAGTTCACATATAACAGGGACCCAGACAGCAAGCAGAAAAGCAGCCTTCTAGAGTTTATTAAACCTTGGACTATACAGTGCTTTGTTTGTTGTGTAACCAGCAATTATGAACTTGTATTGCATTTTAAATGGAAAAAAGTCTCAGTGGAGGTAATTGTTTTCAGGTACCTATCAAAGAATAGCTTGCTGCATAAGCTGCAACCGAACTTGTCCACAGAAACTGGGTTTGGAAGTGGGAAACCATAGACATCCATACCGAGTTTTCAATCTGAATATTATTCAGCGTATTAAAACTGAATTGAAGTTTTCTGTATTCCACTTTGTTCTTCATTTGTTTCCCTGAAAGTTAATTCATCTCTAGTAATTTGTCTGGTTCCCCACGTTTTATTTAAAATCAGCTTTTAAAGACCATCTTGCAACCTCCCTGGAGCCTGAGTCTGGTAATAAGGATAATATGGTATTGCTGAATGAGATCCTCAATGCTTCCTCGTTGGATGAGGGGGAATTCAGCAGAGAGTGGACAGCTGTCTTTGGAGAAGACCCGCTCACTGAGCTCTCCACTGCCTCTTCAGGCGGAGACATGGAGAGTGCTCCCTCATCAGCGGCAGCACCCTCAGGCTTTCTTCCCTCACAGCTCTTAGACCAAAACATGAACGATTTACAGTCCTCTCTACATGGTGAGTGGGTGTCTTGCACTTACGTAAGTTTTTCAAGATTTGGGACCTTAGTCTTGCTCTACTTCAGTTCCCAATTTTTGTCCGTCTTGTCTATTTAGAGCAGTGGTTCTTAACCTCTACTGATTTAGAGTGTAAACTCTTATGGTATGTCTACACTGCAATAAAATGCCTGTGGCTGGCCCATGTCAACTGACTCCAGCTTGGGCTGTGGGGCTATAAAATTGCAGTGTAGACATTCAGGCTCGGGCTGGTGCCCGGCCTCTTGGAATGAATGTCTACACTGCAATTTTATAGCTTTGTGAGCGTGAGTCAGCTGACATGGGCCAGCCACCTTTGTTTTAGTGCAGTGTACCAATGATACCCTGAGGGCCAGAAATTGTCTCTTACTATATGTACATATAGTATCTCTCACAGTGGGGCCTGATCTCAAATGGAGCCTCTTAATACTGAAGTACAAGTTGTTGTTGTTGTTTTTTCTAAAGGAGAAAGCAAGCCAGTTTTATTTATAAAAGTTCTTGGTTAACAAACAATAGCTCTCTCTAGGTTTTTATATTCCACTGCAGATGTAGCTATCTCGTTCAGCTGCCCTTTTTAAAGGGAACATTAGCTTTCCTCTTCCTATACTTTCAATCCCATTTACTTATCCATAATAATTAAAGGACTCTTATTAACATTATCTGTGTAGACCTATCATTCAGCTGGAGAAAAATGTACAACTTGCTGGTTCCATTTCTAAATTGAATTGTGGTAATTTTTTTTTTTTAACTTCCCACATTTGCAGGGATGAAAAGGAAGCTGCTTGACTTCCTTACTGTCTCACTGATAATCTTTTTGTCTAGTCATGACATAAAGCCACTCTCAGTGAACTGCCAAACCAGAATAGACTCAAGGCCAACAAATGCTTTCAAATTTATAAATTGCACTTTTTTTTTTCCCCTCGGCAAAATTCCTCTCTCTAACTTGCTCTATAGTGGTAATGGGAATATACATGTACAGTACATGAGACTACTTCATAAAGATATGCTGGTAATCTCTTAAAGCAGTGCTTTTCAGATCCAGCATTTTGTCACAAAAAGCAGCAGTTTGTATTGAGGACTTTTTTTTACGTTGGTTTACTTGCTGAACTGTCTGTTCTAGTCAAGCAAGAGCAAAGTCCAGTATCTCGTTCAGAGGCGTTCTGCTCCCCAAATCTTAGTGCAAGGACAAAAAGGAAAAACAACATGAGAGTTAAATACTGTTCTACAATATGTTCAGATTTGTGGTCTGCCAGTCTCATCAGTGTAAATCTCCCATCAGTTAATTCTTTGAGCCAAATACTGGTCTCACAGAAGTCAGTGGGAGAAAGTTTCCAGGCAAAATTCCCATTCGTTTCTGTGAAATTAGAATTTGGCCTTGTTTGCTTAACCGACTCAGCCTATCCATTGCCAACTATTGGCATATGAATGGGGCTTCTGATTTCTGGTACTAACCAATAAACACTGATAAAACACCACTATGCCAAAGGGGGGGGGGGGAAATGTTTATCCAGGAAACTCCAGAAAAACACTGGAAATGTTTACTCAATTCATGTTGCCTTAATCCCTTTCCAAGTGCAGTTTGTTTATATAGGCCAGGGGTTCTCAAACTGTGGGTCGGGACCCCAAAGTGGGTCACAACCCCATTTTAATGGGGTCACCCAGGGTGGTGTTAGGCTTGCCAGTGCCTGAGGCCGAAGCCAATGCCCAAACCTCACCACCCAGGTTTGGCCCTGGGAAGGGGGACTAAGGTTACATGCCTCCTGCCCAAGGCAGAAACCCTTGGGCTTCAGATTTGGCCCCCCACCGGCCTGGGGCAGCAAGGCTGGGGTGTGGCTGGGCTTCAGTTCCCCCTCCTGGGTCATGTAGTAATTTTTTGTTGTCAGAAGGGGGTCATGGTGCAATGAAGTTTGAGAACTGCTGATACAGGCAGTGCCCCTGCTCCCTGGCTTGTATCATTATATCTTGCTGGGTAGTTTAAACCCAGCTCAACTAGAGGGGCAGCAAATTCCTACATTTCTATTGGCCATTCATTAGACGGGGAGCATTGTGCGCATGTGTGGGATTTAAAACAATACTGTATTACAAATTGTGGGAGCAAGTTAAAAAATGCTTCACGGCACAAAAGCCCCAGAAGAATAAGTCCATGGTCATCAGGATTTCATTGTGGAAGACAGCGAAGGAAAGCAGCTACTAGTGTGCAAATATTGTAAAGTTATGATACATATTGTGTGTCAGAAAAAACTTCTACTAGAATTACCAGACATCTGCAGTCTAGAATACACACACAAACCTGAAAAACCCTCCATCCAAACCAGATACCTCTAGCGCTGCACCGGTTGTCCATTAATGAAACTGTGACAAGATTTAAAAGAAAAAGATGAGGAGGTGGATGTGGCACATGAATTTACAAGGGTTTTGGTGCAATCTAGTGTAAGCCTTTCCCAAGCAGATTGACTGATAGAATGATAAATAATAAAAGAAGCCTAACTTAGTGATGTGTACGTTTAAACTTTTAATAGTGCAGGGTCACCTTTTAAGGAGGTAGCGGCCCACTGGTGAGGGGTCTGGGCACAATTGTCCAGTTTGCCTGTATGAATATAGACAATGCATCTCTGCACTAGGCTTCCATCTCTTTTTCCTCCTTACTAGAGTTGGTGACAACCTGCTACAGTACATTGGCAGGGAAAGGACATAAAAGGCCCCTGCCACCTCTAATTTTATGTGATTCTGTGGGCATGTCTACACTTACTGACAGATCAATACTGCTGCAATCGATGCAGCGAGTGTCGATTTAGCAGGTCTGGTGAAGACACGCTAAATCAATGGGAGAGCATGCTCCCATCGATTTGTGTACTACACCTCCCCGAGAAGCATAAGGGAAGTTGACAGGAGATGCTCTCCCATCGACACAGTGCAGTGTAGCCACCACGGTAAGTGGATCTAACTACATCAATTTCAGTTACGTTATTCACGTAACTGAAGTTGCGTAAATTAGATCGATTTACCATGGTAGTGTAGACCAGGCCTATAAAACATGCCGACTCTTTATTTTAATAAAATGGCCTTGGCATTAATTATAAACAGAGGGGAACCGCTTTACCTACCAGTCAAATAGAAAGAGGACAGATCACCACAGTAATGGCAGTTGTCTACTGAAGCGAGCAAGACTCTAGGGTCTAGTGACTTTATCTTAAATGGCCTTTGGAACAGATTCCAATGGCACCACAACCCAGTATCTGACAGGCATGGCAAAAGATAAGAAAGTAAATAGAGGGATGGAGGAAGAGGAAAGTGGAATACCCTATAACCAACTAGTCTTATGTTCTTATCATAAAAATGAAAGGACTGAAATAATGTGCACCCATTATAGCTACAAGTAGCACCTCAGATAACTGTAAATGAAATAATTTAGGGGGGAAAGTCCTATTTTCCTGTGTGCACATTTAACAGTGTAATATATAACCCTAGTGCTTGTGATCCTGTCTTCCCCTCCTGGCTGAGCCCCGCAATTGCATCATTCCACAGCTCTCTCACAGGAAAAAGAGGGTTGTTTTTTTTTCACTCTGTGGTAAAGACAGGGAGTTCTGGTGCTAAAGTTGGTGGGCTGTGTTCCCACTGTCGACTGTGGTGCCTGTGTGTATACGTTACAGCAGCACTTCGTGTGTAATCATTTTTGCTGTTTGCTTTGTGTAGTTAGTTTTTTCCCTTGCTGAAAAGAATTTTAAACCCAAGGAAGAGAAAAACCACCCGTATAAAATCTTTTTGAAAAGGAACCTAAAGAATAAAGTTCTGGGTATGCTATTTAAAGGTGCTTTAAAAGGACCTGGAATTTTTCAAAATTCATCATTTAAAAATAGCTTCAAGTTAAGTGTCCCTTTAAATACTTCGCTTTAGACAATAAAATGAAATGATGGTCCATGGAACTACACAAAAGCAACAGTAGAAGAAAAAAGTACAGCGTGGGTCAGATTTTAGCTAAATCGTAGTCACATTTACCACAATTAAAATGTTAACAATCCTCCCTCCTACCCACCCATCCTCCTGCCTGACTGGATTGTCTGCACTGGAGCTTCTGTGCACAGAAACTATTTCTGAGTATTTTTTTTAAATGTCCTGGAAGGTGGTCTTGTTAGGAGGGAGGCAGGAAGAGTGCTCTTTTAGGCAGACTGGACATTTGGCTGTGCGATTAGAAAGCACACGATTGCCTTAGCCTGTCGGAACGTGCGACTAGTCAGCAGATACGCTCTTCTCAAGGACCTTGCTCCTTTGCAGAAGTTAACTGCTAATCTCTATGGGAGTGAGGGAGAATGTGAGCAGCAGTAACTGTAACTGGTAAAGGAGTGAGGCTGGGGTATGACTCCATCAACTGATATGAGTATTCTGCTGTAAAGTACCCAGGATGATATGAGTTCATTAAGTAATTACTGTTCATTGACACTAATGCAACTATGTTATTGATTTTTAGGCTGGGCAGCTAACAGAGTTAGCCCTTCATCTATACCACAGCCAGCACAGAAATCAAACAGCCTGAATGTGAACACCAACAAGATGCCTGCGAAAGGTGATATGTTCATTATAAGTGTTTTCTGTTACTCCAAGATGATTTGCATAATACATTTACCTTCAGGAATTGTATGTGCACGCTAATTAAATACTTTAATCACTGTTTATACTTTAGATAGTTGGTGTTGGAAGATATATATATATATATATATATATATATATTCCATCTTTATTTGCTGGCACTAAGCCTGGTGAAATGTAATGAGCAGTCATTTAAGTTCCAGTGAAATAGCAGATGAAACACGGGGGTTTCTGCTTGGAAATCTGTGAGCCGGAGAGTTGCATCCACATGCACTCACTCTGAACTGAGCCTCATTTGTGCTGAAATTCAGGAAAGACATTATGGCTGATATGGTAGAATAGAGTCCTAACTGAACCTGCTGATTAAGAAGTTATTTCAGTGACGTGCCCCATGTTACAGTAATCTGTGTGCTTTGAGGTGCCTGTAGCAACAAGTGAATTATATTGCAAAGAATGCAATCCTGCATCCTTTACCAGGATAAACCTCCCATTGGCTTTGTTTGGGGTTTGCTGAAAGATTGGGCAAAGTAAATGTAAAGTGTTCGTCATAGAAATTTCTCCTAGAGGATGGAAACAGGGAGATGGGGCGGGGAGAAATTATTTGTATCTTCAAATAATTAGGAAGTTCTCAGATATTTAAAATTGGGGGGCATATAAATACCTATATAGACTGATGTGCTACATGCATTTCTACAGAAATGGGTGGGTATTTAATTTTGTTGCAAGTAATATGTTGAAATGTAATTCATTACACTATTTCTAGAAGGAGATGTATTTTCTTCATCAATTTAACAATACTCATGGCATTCACTTTGGTTGATCTTCTGCATTAAATCAGCTATGTTTAAGAGCAGCAAGAATTCTGACATGGTATATTTCACTATTCCAGAACCTTCAAAGAATCCTAAAGACCTGACTGCTTGGTTCAGTCTTTTTGCTGACCTTGACCCGTTATCCAATCCTGATGCTGTTGGGAAAACAGATAAAGAACATGAATTGCTCAATGCATGAGCCTGCGGCCTATCGTAACTCTCACTCCTCCATTCATTAACACTATCTTTGGGTTTAGAAGACTACAACAAAATCAGTATGCTGTTGTGAAACTATAAAGTATGTGCCATTACAATAAAACTAAAGGGATTTAACCCCCTTTTATATAGGTACAATTATTTGATCTTGTTTTGTATAAAGAGTTTGCATTTATTTTCTATGTGGACTTACCAAGTGAGGTTAAAAATTAGGGCAGAATTCTAGCCATATTAGGATACCTGCTGAAACACTGTCATGGCCTGAGGTGTTGCGGAACCAATGCGAGAGTGAAATATAAATTATAAACCTATTTTTTTATAATGTTTCTTGTGCAAATCAAAAGATCGTGGAATGGGAGAGGCTGCATGAGTCAAATAATGATTGTATTTGCCACTACTATGTTACAATGTAAATTCAATCTGTTTTGTTAGTATCCGTAGTGAAAAATCCAAGCTGGGGCTAAATTATTGAAGGATTATATTTGGGTCTGTCAAGCTGCTGTATTCATGGTCTCTCTGATTTAAATTATTAGACAAACTGCACTACACAAGACCAAAAATATTACCCAGAGCGCATCCTTCCTGAGTTTTTCATTGTGCCAACAGGATTTGTACATGCAAAGCAGAAGTTGGGTGTCACTATTGCTTACACACGCCTTGAAAGCATTCAAGTTTTCTGTTAGGAGTAGTTTTCATCAAACTGATTTGATAAGCATGTGTTTCTTGAGCCTGTTGTGACACTAACTCTCCTTTAATAAAATGGTTTTGACAAAAAAGAAAAAAAGACATACTAAGGACCTTCTTTTTTTCAGCTGGAATGTTAGTGTCATTGTTGAGTGCAGGATGCGCCATTCATCTGACAATGAAATCTGACCAGCTTTCAAACAGCAGCTAATAATTCATCTCGTTGCCTCAGGCCACCACTTGCAGTAGGTTGGCAAGAGAACCCTGTACTCAGATTCTTCTGCAACTCATTGTCTCTTCTGCTTCTCCCCGCTCCTTTTAAACTCAAGGACGTTAAAGGAGTGTCAGCCTTCACTTTACCTTTGTAACTTGGGTAAGTTTGCAAAACACACTGTGCAATGTTTGTTTTTCAGTCGATTATACATTTGGGCCCTTTGTTTTAAAGGGACTTCTATCCCATTCCTTTCCTGTAGATGCAATTTTACACCAGCAATTAATTGCATCCACAATTAATTAATCCAAGTCTTCTTGCCTGCCTCATAATCAGTTAGACAACTGAGTCCATGAATCGGAGCCTTGAACTAATTGCTTGAAAACTAAATAAGAACACCACATCCAAGCTTCCCAGGGGCGTGGCAGCTTCCCAGTGCCCGAAGGAGAGACTGCCATGTACTGTAGAGTTGGAATAGTAGGAGAGTTGACTGGGAGATCTCAGTGGCTTTATGTCACCACAACTAGACCCATAAGAAATATAGCGGGAAACAGCCCTGTTCCTTCAGGGAGCTCTTTCATACATCTTTCGCTACTTCTTGGACTAAGTGCCCCATCACTGCATGGCAACCTGACACTTAATCCTTGTCTCATACTATTGATCTCAGTTATGGTGGGTGTGATGGGTTCGGTCACAGAGACCCCCTTGGGACTGTCATCTGACGGGATGGAATTACCTCTGAGCCCGTTTTCCGCTGCCAGCTTGGGACTCCAGAACCCTGCCTTGTTGGGCCAGACACACTAGCCTGCTGCAACATAGACCCAGGTCTGGTCCACATCCCCAAAAGCTGCAGACTTTAACCAAAAACTGCTCAGCAAGTCACTTATCTCCAGCAGCCAGACACCCAGCTCCCAATGGGATCCAAACCCCAAATCAGTCCGTTTTACTCTGTATAAACCTTATACAGGGTAAACTCTGAAATTGTCCGCCCTCTATAACACTGATAGAGAGAGAAATGCACAGCTGTTTGCTCCCCCAGGTATCAATCACTTACTTTGGGTTAATCAATAAACAAAAGTGATTTTATTAAGTATAAAAAGTAGGATTTAAGTGGTTTCAAGTAGTAACAGACAGAACAAAGTAAGTTACCAAGCAAAATAAAACAAAACACGCAAGTCTAAGCCTAATACATTTAAGAAACTGAATACAGGTAAATCTCACCTTCAGAGATGTTCCAATAAGCTTCTTTCTTAGTCCAGGCCCAATCCTTTCCCCGGTACAGTTCTTGTTAGTTCCAGCTCAGGTGATAACTAGGGGTTTTCTCATGACTGCAGCTCCCTTTGTTCTGTTCCACCCCCTTTTATAGCTTTGGCACAAGGCGGGAATCGTTTGTCTCTCTGGGTCCCCACCCCTCCTTCTAAATGAAAAAGCACCAAGTTTAAGATGGATTCCAATACCAGGTGACATGGTCAGATGTCCTGTCAGACAGATCCCAAGCCTCCATTCTTTCCAGCCTGACTCACAGGAAGGCTTGCAAGTAAACAGAGCCATTTACAACCAATTGTCTGGTCAATGGGAGCCATCAAGATTCTAAACCACCATTAATGGCCCACACTTTGCATAATTACAGTAGGACTTCAGAGTTAACTTCATATTTCTAAAAAGAAAAGGAGTACTTGTGGCACCTTAGAGACTAACCAATTTATTTGAGCATGAGCTTTCGTGAGCCACAGCTCACTTCTAGTTTTAGATATGAGAATGATACATTCAGAAAAATAGGATGAACACAGTAGATTATAAGCTTTGTAATGATACCTTACAAGAGACCTTTTGCGTAAAGCATATGCCAGTTACATTATATTCACACTCATTAGCATATTTTTATAAAGCACATGGAGTGCAAGGTCGCAGTGTGGGGCTGGGAGGAAGTTTGTCCTTAAAAGCTGCAAAAGTGAAGCACAACAGGATGCAAAACCGCATTTTCAGCCTCACTTCTGAGCATCTGTGTTGTGAATTGAAGGCTTGGCTAAAGTGTCCTGAAGTGTAACTTTTGGTACCTCAATTTCCTTTAAAAAAAACAAATGAGCCTCTATAAAATCCATACATCCTAAGCCTGGAAAGACTTTCAAAATTCAGAGTAACAGCCGTGTTAGTCTGTATTCGCAAAAAGAAAGGGAGTACTTGTGGCACCTTAGAGACTAACCAATTTATTTGAGCATAAGCTTTCGTGAGCTACAGCTCACTTCATCGGATGCATACTGTGGAAAGTATAGAAGATCTTTTTATACACACAAAGCATGAAAAAATACCTCTCCCCACCCCACTCTCAGGAGAGTGTAAAAAGATCTTCTACACTTTCCACAGTATGCATCCGATGAAGTGAGCTGTAGCTCACGAAAGCTTATGCTCAAATGAATTGGTTAGTCTCTAAGGTGCCACAAGTACTCCTTTTCTTTCTACTTTCAAAATTATATTCCTCCAACAATTGTAGCTGCTTAACTACAGAATTCCAAAATATTTTAAACGCACATACCCTATTATTTTTGTTACCCCAACCCCACTGCTCCAACCTTGCCTTGTTTATTCAGCTCCTCCAACTGTCGTCTTGATTTCTAGACTGTAAGTGTGGTGGGGCAGAAACTTTCATTTTGGTAGGTTTGTACAGCACAATATAAGTTGGTCCTTTGTAATTTTTGGGATGTATAAGTAGAGGCATTGCCAGCAGATCGAGGGACGTGATCGTTCCCCTCTATTCAACACTGGTGAGGCCTCATCTGGAGTACTGTGTCCAGTTTTGGGCCCCACACTACAAAAAGGATGTGGAAAAATTGGAAAGAGTCCAGCGGAGGGCAACAAAAATGATTAGGGGAGTGGAACACATGAGTTATGAGGAGAGGCTGAGGGAACTGGGGATGTTTAGTCTACGGAAGAGAAGAATGAGGGGGGATTTGATAGCTGCTTTCAACTACCTGAAAGGGGGTTCCAAAGAGGATGGATCTAGACTGTTCTCAGTGGTAGCGGATGACAGAACAAGGAGTAATGGTCTCAAGTTGCAGTGGGGGAGGTTTAGGTTGGATATTAGGAAAAACTTTTTCACTAGGAGGGTGGGGAAACACTGGAATGCGTTACCTAGGGAGGTGGTGGAAGATTTTAAGGTCAGGCTTGACAGAGCCCTGGCTGGGATGATTTAATTGGGGATTGGTCCTGCTTTGAGCAGGGGGTTGGACTAGATGACCTCCTGAGGTCCCTTCCAACCCTGATATTCTATGAATTATGGCTCATCTGGATGTATAACCTGGGCTTTGGCTACACTAAACTTTTTCATCCTACATTTGTGCTCACCCACATAACTCCACTGGGGGCAGCAATGTTGGAAGCACTAATGGAGAGGGTCTGCTGGCATTTCAGATCCCAGTCCCAGTGCTCACTGAAATCCATAAAGATTCGCACCATCTCAGGTGGGCCACTAGCCCAAAATATCATGTTGACCTGCTCTGAGCAGAGTTTGTCTCTGTGGCTATTAAAATGGTGGCAGCAAATCTCCATTAAAGTTCCCAGGAGCTGCTCCAATGAACACAAAGGTGGAAAATTTTACTGAAAAATACCCAGTGTGAACAAGGCTGCTGAGACCGTAATGGCTTTAAAGCAGCTCTTAGGTCACGGATCATAGACCTCTGAACTGTAAATGATTCTCCGGTCATTTTTGGGTCCTGCACAAGTGCAGCAAAGTATCTGCATTGCTCTGAATCCTCCTCATATTTTAGATACAAAAATAGCGGCGTGATCCACCCATTTTTAACTAGACAAACTGGAACTGTAGCTTTCCCCAGGTTTTTCTAAAATGGTGGAACTCATTCATTCACAGTATGGATTAATCCATCGTAAAATGTCATTTTGAAAAGTAAAGTTAGCTTTGAATTCTCAGGCTGTACCCTATACAATTTTTTTGTACTTTTAAGTTAAAAAAGAGCTAGAGATACTTAAAACTTATTTTTAAGAAGAAAAGCAATTAATAATCAGTTCTACACTGGGACTTGATCGTGAACATTTATTCAAGTCTGCTACTTGAGCTGGAGTAATATCACCCTGAAAACAGGAGTCTGTAGATAAAACCTCACATTGTGTTACAAAGAGAACTTCTGTAATAATTGTGAGGGCGACAGCATTTGTCAGGTTTCAGTGTCCTTCAAAGCCAGAGTGCCATTGTCACAGGATTTTACTGTGCCCTGCATGTACAGGCTGAGCT